CAAAAAAAAAAAAAAAAGGCTGGGCTCAGTGGCTCATGCCTATAATCCCAACACTCTGTGAGGCTGAGCCGGGTGGACTGCAGGTTAGAGACCAGCATGAGCAAGAGCGAGACCCCCATCTCTAAAAGTAGCTGGGCGTTGTGGCTGGCACCTGTAGTTCTCTTGCTCCCAGGCTGAGCAAGAGAACTGCTTGAGCCCAAGAGTTTGAGGTTGCTATGAGCTGTGACTCCAGGGCACTCAACCGCAGGGTTATTGAGACTCTGTCTCAAAAAAAAGAAAAAAAGAAAAGAAAAATTAATGGGGGTGTCATGATGCCTGGCTATAGTCCAAGCTACTGGAGAGGCTGAGGCAAGAGGATCACTTGAGCCTAGAAGTTTGAGATTGCTGTGAGCTATGACACCGTAGCACTCTAATCTGGGCCAACAGAGTGAGATTCTGTCTCAAAAAATAAAAACATACAAAAAGAAAGAAATACTGAGTTAAACTGTTCAACAAGAGAATTGACACCCATGCAAATAGCAAGGTCTAGGTTACTGCTGGAGCAGAGGCAGACTGTCATTGTTCAGTCTGCATGTAGTTTGAGGTCAGACTGATCTCTGAGGACTGTTCCAACTTCAACACTTTTAAACTATGTTGTTGTAGTCAAATGACATACTACATATGTTCATATTTCTTACAATAATATCCTGAAATAAGCTATATTATGAGATGCCAGCATAAGATGTTGGGTTTCTTTTTAAAGACACTCTTAAACTGACAGAAACCATTGTTTCCACTGTGTACATTAATTGTTTTAGGTATACTCTGCTGTTGAACATGAGTACTTATACTATTCAGTGTTCTCTGGATGTGGAGAGATGAGGGACAGAGAAATGAGCTGTAGATCAAAGGCTAGTTAGAGGTAGAGAATTTGTCAGCTACATCCGGAAAAGAGCAGATAGAAAGGAAATTTCATTCTGCTTCTGAGTAATTCTGTCAAAAACAGGCAATTTGCCTCAACTACTCAGACATCTGTGTTACATCTCCACTTAGCTAATAGAGCCCCAGACTTAAAGTGGCCAAAGGAAATAATGATTGCATCACAGCTTGTAAAATAAACATTCTAACATATCCATCATACTAGAAATCAGTAAAGAGTTTGGCACTGGAACGGAATAAAGACAGTTAAATGCCAGTTTTCTAGAATTCTTAGGAATGAATTGTTACGGGGGCACTGTTTTCTAGGGAGTAAGAACTATTCAAAGCAAGAAAGTCATTTGTGACCCTGGGGTAAAGAAATCCTAGAAATCTGGTGTGTCCTTTTCAGAGTGCTGTCACTACTCACCACTCGAATACTGTGATGTCCTCAGGACCAGCAAGAGCATGCAGTTTGCTCACTGTGACCATGGTTTCAAATCAGCAACTGCAAAACTGACCTTGCTGGCATGTCAGCACTGATTGTGTGTAATGTGAAAATATGGCACCGGTATCAATAACACTAATTAAATAAGAAGTGAGATGGGGCCGCCATCCTCTTTTATTTATGCCTTGTTTCAGAGGTCATTTCACTCAAGAGAGTGCCAAGTCCCATGACTGGGCTTCCTCAGCCCTCTGACTTGAGTCTCTCCAGGTAAGATGATTAGAGAAGAGGGCCCCGTCTAAAGTAAGTTATCCTTAGGTAAAAAGGGTCAGCCCTAGGAAAATGGTTCTGTAGGGTTAAAAAAGGAGAGAAGCAGGCCTGGCACCTGTGGCTCAAGTGGCTAAGGCGCCAGCCTTATACACCAGAGCTGGCGGGTTTGAATCCAGCCCAGGGCCTGGCAAACAACAATGATGGCTGCAACCAAACAATAGCTGGGTGTTGTGGCGGGTGCCTGTGGTCCCAGCTACTTGG